TCACTACTTTTGAGATGTTGGGCGGGGCCAGTCCTTGGAAAAAGACATCAAGCTGGGAAAGATGACAGGTCAAAGAAAGAGTGAAGACCCTCAGCAAGGTAGATTGACTACAATAATGGGCTTGCACCTGCTAGAGATTGTGAGAATGACACAGGATAGCACAGAGTTTAGATTATTTGTTCAGAAGGTCTCTATGAGTCATAGTTGACATGCCAGCACCTAACAGCAACAATTTTTTTCAAGGTTTACTATTTACTATTTGTATTCCTTGGGAAGTTGAACTTTTCTAACTAAATTTCCTCATCTTTAAAATTTTCTGGCTTTTAGGGTGGATGGTTATAAAGAGTAAAGAAGTTAATGTAATTTGACAATTATTGTGCCTGGCAGAGTATTGTTGCTGTTGTTGTGATGTGATGGGCCGTTGGGTTGCCTGCAACTCATAGCGACCCTATGTACAGCAGCCCTAAACCCTGCTCTATCCTTTGCCAACCTCACTGTCTGACATACCTACCCGATTACCCCAGCCACTGAATCAGTCTACCTCATAAAGGGCTTTCCTCTCCTGCGCTGTCCCTCCATCTGCCCAAGCATGACGTTCCCTCTCCAAGGACCAGTCCCTCTTTGCAACAAGTCTAAAGTATGTCAAATGAAGCTTCAGAATCCTTGCCTCCAGGGAGCAGCCTGGTTTAACCCTCTCTAGGATGAACCTTTTTGTTTTCTTAGCAGTCGATGGTATATTCAGTACTCTTCTCCACAGCTCAAAGGCATCAATTCTCCTCCTGTCCTCCCTAGTCATTGTCCAACTCTCTGACACATAACAAGTGATTGCAAAGACCATAGCCTGTATCAGGTGCACCTTAGTCTCCAGAGTCACATCATTGCTCTTCAGCACTTTGAAGAGGTCTCTAACTGCAGACTTTCCCATTGCAATAAGTCTTTTAATTTCCTGGTTGTTGATGCCAAGAGTGTTGACTGGGGAGCCAAGCAAAGTAAAGCTGTGAACAATCTCAATCTCTTCACCATCCATCCTGATGCTGCCAATTGTTCCAGTGGTGAGAATCTTTGTTTTCTTTATATTCAGCCTCAATCCATAATGGCGGCTGCAGTCCTTGACCCTCTGCAGCAAGCGCTTCAGGTCCTCCTCAGTTTCAGCAAGCAGGGTTGTGTCATCTGCATAATGCAGATTGTTGATGAATCTTCCTCCTATCCTGATGTCACATTTCTCCTCATAGAGCCCAGCTTCCCAGATAATCTGTTCTGCATATAGATTGAAAAAGTGTGGAGATAGGATGCATCCTTGGCGTACACCCTTCTCAATTTTGAACCATGCAGTGTTTCCTTTCTCTGTTCTGACTAGTGCCTCCTGGTCCAAGTGTTGGTTTTGCATTAGTATGATCCAGTGTTCTGGGAATCCCATTCTTCTCAGAGTTAACCACAATTAGTAATGATCCACACAGTCAAACGCCTTTGCATAATCAATGAAACACAAACACTCCTTGCTTTTAGCCAAGATCCAACATTAACTAAAATATCCCTAGTACCACAGTCCCTTCTAAACCCAGCATGCCACTTCTGGCAGTTCTCTGCAGAGTGTTAGTTACCATTACATTAATATTAAGACCTGTGTTCCTAACTCCCCGGTAGTTTCCAGATTTCTTCTATAATGTATTATGCTCGTTTGGAAGGAAGAGTCAATCAGTGATCCTTTAATTTAACTGCAAAATTTTACTAAATTAAATGAGGTGACATTCCTTTTAATGCTTTTCTATACTGTCCTTTCAAATTAAGTCTTCAATTTTAGTTCTTCATGGTCTAGGGAACTTGTTCTAGTCCAATATTTGGTTTTCTTTTTCTTCTACTACTTAAAATCTCTCAGCAAGCTATTTCTTTTTATTCTGTTTAGGTAATTTGTAAGTCATATGGTAGGTAATACGGATTTTAGTAATTTAGCTTGCCTCGGGCATAAAGTTGTCTTCACTAGACAGTATGGCTAATGCTATTTAGCAATTATTATAAGCATGCCATGCTCAGTTTGACACTTATCAAGAGTAAATAAGTAGTAATTACAAAGCAATACCCTGCATTTCTAGGCTGATTCTAGGCTCCATTCCACCAACACCCTACCATAACCACGGTTCTCTTGGTAAGATATGTAATGAATGCCATGCTTTGTTTATACATAATCTCTAGAATTCCAGATACACTTAGAGATGTTAATCTGAACTATCAGCAATTGCTGTAGCATTCAAGACAACTTCACCCGCAGACTTTTTCAATAATATGTTGGAGTCGTTTTGTTTTTTTTAAGTAACAGTTCACAAGTCAAAGTCTTGGACATTATTAATTTAACCCTAATGCATCTTTTCTTAGCCAAACTAATACCCAAAAAACCCATACCCCACTGTTGTTGTTGAGTTGATTCCAAAACATAAGAACCTGATGTGTCAAAAATTTCTGCCTCCATGAAGTTTCTGTATCCTTTACAGAAACAGCCAGTCACATTTTTCTCCCATTGTATGGCTTTTGTGTTCAAACTGCTGCCTTTTCAAATAGGAGCTGAGAACTTTAACCATTGTACCACTAGGCTTTTAGCCAAAATAAAACAACACAATTACATTTAGTATTTGTAGTATAGAGAGTTCTGGTGGCCTACCAGGTTACACTGCCAACCCAAAGACAACTGGTTTGAACCTACCAGCTGCTCCACAGGAGAAAAATGGGCAGTCTCCTCCCATATGGTTTACAGCCTCTGCATACCCACTGGAAGGCCGACTATGAGTCCCTTCCAACATAGATAGCATCAATATGCATTACAGTAAATGCAGCTTGTAGTGAGAATCATTAACTCATTTGTCCATTGTTAATCATTTCTGCCCTCTGTCCCTCTTAGCTTCTGTTAGCTTCCGTTTCTGGGAATGTCCTCAAACATACACCCTTTTTTAATTGATAATTCATTATTAGAACCTCACTCCCAGGAGTGGTGATAGGAACGTCTCATGATTCACCTTTGTGAGAATAGGAGGGGTTATTCTGCAGTACAGTTGTACTCACTAAGTCAGATAAGCAAACAGGGTAATATATTCCTAGCTAACTACCAGCTGGTAAGTAAGTTTTCCCTGCCCCTCTTCCCTAACATTAAGGCAGTGTTAATATAAAAATAATGACGATATCTGCATGATTTTGAAACTTGTTTTCTGAAATTACCAAGCAAGATATTCCATAAAACTTTTCTAGGAGCCAAATTTTGTTAAGATATTTTATATTCTCTTTTCCATTTCCTCCCAAGGTAAAAAGACTAATTGCATGAGGCTCCCTCCATTTTTGTTTTGTAATTCTATACTTCTGGCCCTTCCCCTTCCAAAAGGCTACATCATATATCCTGCAAAATGTTGTAAGATGTCTGCCCTCCTCCACCCAAGACAGAATCGATCATCTTTGACACCTGCTTAGTCTCCTGAATCTGCTACTGAGTCTAATCCCCCTTATTGGCAACACCACTCACCAGGTCAGCTCTACAAGATTCTTTTTAGCCTAATTCAGTCCATTTTTTAAAAATCACTATGTTTGTCAAGATAACTGCATCACTACATGTTTGGAACTTTGTTAGCTTCTGTTTACATTCTTGAGGCAAAACGGGCCTTCTTTTTTTTCTTTTTTAGATGTAAGAGACTTGTTTCAATCCAATCATTTATTTTGGGCATGAGAGTTACAAATCTTAAATTCATGTTACATATTTATATTATGATACTTTTTAAGTATCAGTTTTAGAACTAAGGACTCTTCTGCTCTAGGAATTGAACCCCCTTATTATTGTTCTATTCTTTTCATAGACTAATTCCTTTTTTAAATATTTAATTTCTTAGATAAATTTCACTTTATTAAGAAAGTAGCATTTTAAAACCCGGTAAGTAGTAAAAAGTCTTCATCTCCTTAATCTCCTATTTTCCAGTTTCATTAGCTTATAATTATCATTCCAGAAATTTGTTCTATAAATGGTAAAACGAAACTAGAATATTACTTTATTTTACACAAAATTACACTATACTATTTAAAACATTTTTAAACTGCAAACTATTCCGTGTTCATGAAAATACCATAATATATCTAGTCATTTCCTCATTGAGGGATTTTTTTACAGTGTTGAAATTATAAAGAATACAGCAGTGAAAACCTGTATATGATTCTGTAAGAAGATATCTGTAGCATACATAATCACAAGGCATTTGGAACCACTATTCTGAGAATGATAACACAAGAGTATGCAAAGTGCTAGACTGAAGGAAAAGAATATTAGTTTCTGGTTTGCTTTGCTCTTCAATCGTTTTGCTAATATTCTTTTTCTCAGGCTTTTTCTTTCTACTACCCTGTTTTTTGCATCAGGTTTATCTTTTAATGACTATGAGCTAATTTTCAGTCCTAAAGGAAATTCTTAGGAATATTCTTTCAAGAAATCTTAGGAATGTTGACCTAGTGAAAATAATAATTTAATTGAAGACGATGGTGAGTTTTTCATGCAGACACTGTAGCAGCCATTAAATGAAGATATCTTAGAATTTTGCAATTTCTCAGTGATTTGTGTTATTAAAAGTGAAAGCTTACCATTCATACTGTCTGATACTTCCAAACACTTGTTTCAAGATTTCATGGTTCATGGCAGTGCACTGTAGTCCTCTGCTTGACACTCAGACTTTATCCTCCACCCCCTTTTGTTTGGTGGGAAAGGTTAAGCTATAGCTTCAGACCTGCTTCAACAAGTCAAAATTTCTTTTAGAAAGGAGGGGTTTTTATTGCTCTGTGAAATTCATCAAATTAAATTTAAAGGCTCTGATTTATCTTGATTTTGCTCATAACAAATTTTTGATGGTTCTTTTTCCCCTTTCCACAATATTTGAGATTTTATTTGTCCCTATTGTGCATGATAGAGGAATGCTGCTAAGCTTGCAAGTAATTAACGGTTGTTTTGAGTAATTCTGCTTTTTTGGCTTTTTATACCTAATCAGAATTGATGTGACTGAAGTGCAAATCTTCATAATAATCATGCATTTGCTGGCAGTGATTGGAGGACCACCTTTTTGGCAATCTATGGTAACTGTTCAAATTGTGTATCCCCTGTAATGCATGCTGTCTTTTGCTTTTATTGTCTAATATGGTATAATTCAGTTAAAGGATAATGTTTACTTATTTTGTATTCTTTCTGGAGGTGAAATGTCATGGCAACAGTAGGAAACAAACATCTCAAACGCATGGTAGACTTCACCAGTTTGAATTATGTTGTACATTTGGTCAGTTTTGGGGTTATTGTGTCAGAAATCATTGGAAAATAGGATTTCTTATTGTCTTATTCTGTAGATGTGGAAACAGCAGGTACAAACCAATGGCACTATTTTTTTCCCTTATTTTTATTTATTATTATTGTGTGTGTGTGTGTGTGTGTGTGTGTGTCTGTGTGTCTGTGTACCGTCAGATCAGATCTGACTGGTACAAGAGGAGATTGTTCCTCCTTTCCCGGCAGAGCATCTGGTGGATTCGAACCATCCGCCTCTGGGATTGCAGTGTAGCTTCTTGCCACTAGGCCACCAGAGCTCCCCTCCATTGGCACTATTAAGTCAGGCTTCTTTTTTTTTTCTATCATTTTATTCATTTTCATAAACATTTACAGAGATTTT